CCGATCACTTGGACAGCTTTGCCTCTCTTTCCTCTGGGAATCCAACTACAAAAAGGATGGAAGAATATGTTGATGCCGCGTTTGTATTAGAAACATTGGATAGTGAAGAGATAGAAGATCATTGCCGTATTCTCCTCGACTGGTCTCACGTAATTTTATCCTCTGCATCAGACTTGAGTATTCATTTAAGGCATTTGTTTTCGCAACGTCAACACTATCCTTGTAGTCCTTCGTCTATACAGCGACGTTCACTTCTGAGTGCTCGTCATTCCGATCAACCCCGTTTTTTAGAGCGATCCAGCTTTCATTCTGATTTGCTATTTACAGTTGAAAGAGGCTTCGACGTGGCTGCTTGGTTGGATGGTGACCCTAGTTTTTCTTCTATTGAACACTCTTCAGAAGCAGAACAAGGAAAATCATATGGTAACTGATTTTCATTAGTTTCCTTTAACATATATTTTGTCACTTATATTTTCAAGTCTAAATTTAACATTTTGCTTCTTTTTCCTTTTTATGCTTGCTTTAATTTACATGATACATTTAATCTTCAAACTATTATTATTGAATAAGAACTTAGTAATCCTGGAAGCTGTTTGAGCCTGTTTCTGCAACTTGGTTGTATTCTCAGGCAGACCTAGAGGAGCGCATTTTGTCCGGAGTCCATAGAATGCATAATAATTTCCGGCGTCTGACCATGGACTTGGTGAATTACCAGACGTTTCACTGGCATCGCAATTGGCATCATCACTGAACCATGCTACTCTAAGCACCACACTACGACTCGTCAAAGAAGCAAGTGAAGTCTATCCTTAGACCAATTGTCTGCCAAACAGTTCTATCTTGGTACATCCACATAACCTTTATCCTCCTTTCATACCTCCACTATAACAATGTTTTACTCGTTTATTTAAAATTAGTTCAGGTGTTCCGTTTTGGCGTTCATTTAATGTGACATATTAACAGTCCCCGCTGGTGCCCTCATCCCTCCCACTGTGTTGGGAGTGTTGATCCGATTATGCTATTTTGGTCTGCGTTCCTTTTTATCAATATCATATTAGTCTTCGCCTCGTTCCGTAATATCTCCTTGGCTCAGTGATCTCACTCGATTACCATATCCGTGCTACACAAGGCGTTGTCCTACACTCTTTATCAAACCTTTGATAGCACATATACTCTGGCTTTAGAAAGCAGACCCCCGAAGTCAGGATTTTCAAGCGAGATGGCAAACTACTTTGACGTCGAAGATTCCATTATCACTATTCGGCATGTGCACCGGGTACATCTCGTGGTCAAACCTTTACTTCACGGACCACTTCTATGATCAAACCCGCCTACTGTTACAGTATTGAGACTACTAGTAACTCATTTATATGAGACGTATTCCTTGCAATTCACACCTCCGCTGTGAACCAGAGATACTCGTGGCAATTTGGCCGAGTGGCTAACGTGTCAGGCTCCCATTCTGCACTGTCACGGTTCGACTCCCGCTGAGGGTGTTGATAAGACCGATGCGAGGTCGAAACTGCAGTCCACTCTGGATAAGAACAACTTTTGTGAAAGCAAGGCTATGTGAACTTCAATGGAAACGTCAGCTCTACTCATATCATCGTGGGAAAATTCAACTGCCAGTCCTTTATCTCTTAAGCAAAATAAGATAAACACATCTCATATAAATGATTTACTGGTAGTTTCGAAACCCTACAGTAGACGGATTTCATCATAGAAGTGGTCCGTGAAATAAAGGCTTGACGATGAAATTTAACCGGTGACCATGCAGAACAGTGATAAGAGAATCTGTGGCGTCAAGGTAGTTTGCCATTCCGCTTGAGAATCCTGACTTAGCGGAAACATTCAACTTGCAATCCTTTATCGCCTTAAACGAAATCGAGTGAATACACGCCGTCTATTTTTAGCCAATTCTCTCTGATCTCGGCTGCATCTTTCATGTTTGTACATATAATACCGAGACTGACTTTTCTGTGCCCATGTTTCTTGTTTTTAAACCCCCAAATGTTATAGTCTTCTTACTTGCCTTAATTAGGGTCACTGTAGACGTCACCTAGGACTTGTCGTTCTGTTGATTAATAGTCGACATCGTGTCCCGTTTCGCGTGGAGTCATTACCTTTGCCGTCTGTCTTGTTCACTTTATAGATTTGCTTATCCGATTCAGATCTCTCTCATTAGCCCGTAGATCTTTCTGGTTGACCGATTTCACTTTGTCCCAGCCATTCTGTATGTTTTTCTCCAGGCGCTATTTTTAAAGTCCTCGGTAGCAAACACACAGTCGCCTCACCTGCAGAGCACATGGGCTTTGAGTCCCTTGTTTGCAGACATCATCTATTGCCTTCTCGGTTCATCTTGATTAAACCCGTGTACCATGATACAACTATGTATGTCTATCTATGTTCATCTGTTACCTCTCTAGTGGATTTATAGTTGATTTGGCCTAAATGCGAATTTATTTGACGATTGTGATTACACGTCCCCCTAGTCACGTTTCCCCCTGGCCATACAAGTTTTAGTTGTTTCTTAAAGCAGATTTCACTCATTGATAATGTCTTTGCTTGATTTCCGAAACTTTATCACCAACTTTTTTCTTGTGGTTCCTTTTACTCTGTTTGACGATAGCTCCTTGATCCGGACGCTTCTCTGAGGTAACAAGCAAAGGTATCGGTAATTCGGTCTTCTTCGAATCTCCAGTTCATTAAATTTCTTTCCCCAATGGCCTCCCTAATCTTCCGTTTGTTTGTGTTTTTACCACATGAGTCCCTTCTTTCTATTGCCTTCCAATTGTTGTCGTGTCCATTCTGTGCGATGTGTTTCGCTATTTCTGACCTTTAGGCATCCATTTTCTTTTGATGTTACTTGATTCATATGACTTGTAGAGAGTGGTTTTTTCCTTCGCGGTAACCTGAACTTTTCATTTTCTTAATACTGGCCGTAGTTTTTGAGCTAGTTCGCGTGAATGGAGGCATATCCACTTTAGTGAGTCTTTTCCCATCCCTACCTTTTGTTTCATAATCCCCTTCTTGCTATCGGCTTTTCACGGCTACTATCTTGCTTTGTATTGCTTCTCTTGGGTATATATTGCTGCGAAATATCCGAATTAACTTTTGCCATTATGTATCCCAGAATTCCACGTCTGTTGATCGTAGGATTCTTATGAACAGGCTCCTAAATATCACATAAGCATTCGAACAAGGTGCGTTCAATTAAGTCCCACTGACAACAGGATCAAGTTGGGAAAACGAGGTCAGCCCACTTCTATACATTGAAAGGAAACTGCGGCTATCCAAAAGGACACACCATTTAGGACTCTATCTTAGAATATATGAAGAAAAACTGGATTTTGAAGACTTCCTAAATGGAATATTGCGACATAACGTTCTACTTCCAAGGAAAAGTTGGTTGGGAGGGAATTCGTGATGTGGGCTGACCGCAAGCCGAAATAAGATTTCCACTTATGGAAGATTGTTGACTTGCACGAAGAAGCTTTCACTTCATCGTCCCGTGACCCTGATTAAACTGTGCTAATCTTTCGTATGCACTGGGGCAGACATTTTCGGAGCAGGAATCCATACTTCAAGAAATAGAGAAAAAATATACTAAGCCGAGAAGATCAGCTGCAATCATAGTCGCTCTGTCTATATAAGTAACTTCGCAATCTAAATTATGCATCTCATGCTTTGACTGGCCTCATTTGATTTGGATGTAATACCTAGATGTTGTATTCTTGGTAGACGTCCCGATTTACC